AAGGTCATCCTTAGACTTTCCTTGTATATTGAGTAACGTACCAATAACACTTTCAAATACATTTTTTTCAATATGCATAACATCAAGAAAATGTCTTACATACAACGATTTCCAGTACGACAACTCAAATAAAATTGACCTCTTCTTCCACCCACGCGTGACAAGCGTATGAGCAAAAGGCTTGCCAAACTGAGTACTCACATCTTTCACCTTTTCAAAAATTTGTTCGCCGGTCAATGTAGGTGGAGATCTACGTTGTTCTGAATTTCCATTGAATGCTTTTCTCCACCCACGGTAGTGATGATTAGAATTTAAGAATCTACGATGACCAAGAAAGACATTCTTTTGACCAAATTCCAACCGCGTCCAATCTGTGTTTTCTTCACAGATAGGACACGCACACTGACCTTTAATGCTATACCCCGATAGATTTCCGTATGCTGGAAAATCATTAATTGTGCCAAACAACATCGCCCTCAAATTGAAACTTTCTTTCCTATATCCATCATAAACCTCCACACCGTTCTCCCACAAACTCTTTAAGTCTTCGATTAAAGGTGTCAGGTATACGTCTATGTCATTCCCTGGTTGTTTAGGGCCAAAAATTAACATAGATAATATCATGTACTTACGCTTCATACATAGCCATGGAGGTAGGTTATAAATCATAATAATTACAGGCCAGGTGGAATGTGAGATACTTTGCAGACCATGCGGATTCATTCCATCAGTTGATAATGCCAAGCGAAGGTTTCTAGCTTCTTCTCCAAAATCAGGATACTCATTATCAATTTTCATCCACTGTGGTGAATCTGCCAGATGTCGATACTTCCCATCTATAATTCTATCATCTGCATGCCAAGTCAGGTGTTTTGCATCTGTTTCACTACGAAACGTGCGTCTGAATCTCGGAATTATAGGAAAATACCATAAGAGTTTTGCTGGTGACAACTTTTTCTTATACCGAGATACACCACATTTAGGACACTCGTTTAATGATGCATATTCATTTTGAAACAAAATGCAATCATTTGGACAAGCATGTATCTTATCATAGCTCATGCCAATAGAGCATAACATTTTTATAGCTTCATAGGTTCGATTGAGAAGAACATTGTCCTCCGGAAGCATCTCTTGAAGTAGGGCTAACAACTCTGTGAAACTTTTATCCGACCATCCATTACCCGCCTTTAAGTTGTACAACTTTAATACCGCAAACAATCTTGTGAAAGTAGTGCAACCTTTATACAATGATTTCTCTGCATCGCTTACCAACCTCTCAAACATCTTGGGACAATCTTTAAGATCTTCTTCAAGTGCTTCTGCAATCTCTTCGACTCGATCACAATCATATGTATCCCTGCCATTGTCCTTTGAAGTATAGGTCGTATTATTCCCGGGTTCGACATTTTCGTTACTTATCTCACCATGTAATGTCCAACATGTATAACTTTGATCAATTCCATGTCGCATTAAATGAGATTCCAACTGAACAACGTCAATTCGACGCCTATAACAGCAACCTAAGCAAGGACATGTGATCCACTAATTGAGTAGTCTAAACTAAACTAAAAAAGTTAAACAAAAACAGAGAATACCTGTAAAGAAATCACTAACTTCTAAGAAAGCTACACAGTAGGATGCTTGGAAACGATCACAACCTTGCTCTTCACAGGTAACCCCTATAACAGACAAAATTAATAACATCATTAACATTAAATAATTCTTGGAACATCAATTGTTGATAAAACTTGCAATAATGTAACCACTTCTTATATAGTTGATAATTTCTTTTAATAAAGCCTTATAATATTAAAAGAAAAATGTGGAACAACTAAGAAACTATAAAATGAGGAACAAAATAAAATACCATAAAACAGACTACTCATATGATCTAACCATTTGATAGGTATAGAGTTTACTTATATTTATATTCATGTTGGCTAATCTCTTAAAAAGAAGCTCAGGATGTAATCTGACATTGAAATATTATTTTCTTAATGTGATTTAAAGGAATGTCTTCTAAACATATATATTATTTAAGTTTTGGTTGAATTCTTACTAGATTTATGACAAAGTTATTGGCGATAATTTTTTCACCTATAATTTAGCATCTGTCTGTTTTGTAAAAAAAAAATATATGCATATTCAAGGATAAATGCAATTTCAAGCAGAGGTTACCTATCAGAAGCTTTCATTTATACATGTATCTAGATGCATATTTCATCTATCTTATCTAAAATGTCCAATCTCTCATAATGAAATAATTTAGAATTGTATTTTTAATGGAACTTTAATTATGCAGTGATGCATGTATATGATGTAATTAGAGTTTGCACAGGTAACTGTTTGCTTCTCTAAGTTGCTTTCCTTTCATGTAAAACACATACCAGAAGCAAAGAGATATGTTCAGTTTTCCATAATATCAACACTACAACACCAATTTTCAAAATGAAATTTTAGCATAATATCAAAACTAATTAATAACATAATAGAAAACTGAATGCAAAAATGAAAATGGAGAGTAATAGTATTGAACAAAATATCAAACACTTTATCATAATATTGAACAAAAAAATCTCTAAGAGGTATTTTATCAAACACTTAGAATGCATTTAACTGAGACAAAAAGAGAACAATTTTTTTCTCATATTCATATCAGTTGCAGCAGAGGAATGACAAAGACAACCATTACAAAACAAAATAATGAAGAGAACAATTTTTTTCTCATATTCATATCAGTTGCAGCAGAGGAATGACAAAGACAATCATTACAAAACAAAATAATGAGATTACCTTGTAGTTCTGCAGACGGAATGACGGAGGAGGGCGACGGTCGGCGGCTGTCAGACGGAGGAGGGCGACGGTCGTGTTTTAGGTTAACGGAGAAGGGGACGTTCGTGGTTTAGGTCGCCAGAGGAGAAAGAATGAAAGAAATACACACAGTCGTTCTGTTTGTTTTAAAAATTCTAGTGGGTATTTTAAATTAATTCTAATAATGCCTATAGCAGCGCTTTTAAAAGCGCTCTCTAAGGTGTGCCTTAGGCATGACATATAGCAGCGCTTTTTAAAAGCGCTTTCTTATATACCCCATATAGCAGCGCTTATAGAGAAAGCGCTCTCGTATGTTACACCTACAGCAGCGCTTTAAAAAAGTGCTTTCTTAGGGCCACCCTTTAGCAGCGCTTTGCAAAAGCGCTTTCTTAGGGCCACCCTTTAGCAGCGCTTTACAGAAGCGCTTTCTTAGGGCCCCCTTTAGCAGCGCTTTTCAATAAGCGTTGTCTAAGGTGTGCTACTTTTTTTTCTTTTTTTAATGACTCTTTAGTAGCACTTTTACAAAAAGCGCTGTCTTTGTATGCGCTGCTAAAAGTCAATTCTGGCGTAGTGATCCCCTACCCAGGATACGTAGGCACAAGATGCGAATCTTGACGAGTAACTTAGGACTAATCCTTAGGTCTTTCTCTTTACCTTCTAACCCTTAGTATTACCTTAAGCAGATATCTTTAGCAATAACACATTTAAACAAGAGGTTCATGTAGAGTACTACAGAAATTTATGATGCTAATACCTTCCCTAAGCTTAACCAACCCCGAACCCTAGATCTTTCCCCGCATTGTGTTTACGATGCAAATTAGGTTTTTCCTTTCTTTAACCTTTCCTTCGGATAAATCAAAGACCGGTTGTGAACTAAAGATGTGATTCAAATTAATTAATAATTTGATATCCTATTCTCACCGTAACACACCCCAAGACTTTGAGTCGGGTGTCAACTTCATTGGTTGTTCCCAGGTTCACCGTCACATGCATTCACATCTTAGTACCCTAAATATGGGTTAGGACAAAAAGCAAAGCAACAATAGTATAATAGAAAATATACATATGTATTTCATTTAACCATTATATCAATAATTTATAAATATATTAATTAAATCTTATGGTCGGCCACAAGTGTATACCGATGGTTCGCCAATGAATGTGTTTCGGATAGCTTGATGGTTGGTTTGATATGGAGGACTAGGTCATTGGCTTGAGAAATTACCGACCTCTGATGGACGTGCTTGGTTTTACTTCTCGGTTTCATGATGGATCGACATTTTTAGACTCGACGCTCTTTGGGATGTCCATATTTCTCGTTTGTTTGACTGGGGATCGAGGTATTTCGGCTTCTTTAGCCGAACAGTCTCTTGATGGGCGTGTTTAAGCTTTTCTCTCTGGGGTCTGAGTTATCCAGACTCTTTGCCATATGGATCTTCACTTACTATTCCAAATGGAAAACTCACAGATATGGTCTATATGCTTTGTCAAATAAAAAGGAAAAATGCAGGTTCCAATGAAAAACCATTGAAGAGTGCACATAAGCAAATCAATGATGATCACCAAAGCACTATAAATCTCTCTCTCTCTCTCTCTCTCTCTCTCTCTCTCTCTCTCTCTCTCTCTCTCTCTCTCTCTCTCTCTCTCTCTCTCTCTCTCTCTCTCTCTCTCTCTCTCTCTCTCTCTCTCTCTCTCTCTCTCTCTCTCTCTCTCTCTCTCTCTCTCTCTCTCTCTCCCTCCCTCCTTACAGAATTGTCATCAATGAAACTAAGTTGTCATCATCAAAACCAAATTATGATAGGAATAAGTTGCTTTACTTTAATCGCTTCTTAGATGAACCTTCAAACACATAGTTCTACATTCTACTTTTTTTTTTTATATGATGATAATGCATCTCCTAAGAGATGGTAAAAGAAACAAATAAATATATATAATTGGAGTGGTTAAATTCCCCCTTTAATTAAGTGGAGAGTATACTCTACTCTTCCTAAAAGTATCTTATCTCCATTTATCATAAAAATTTAAATATGCAAACACAGAGAAAAAACAAACACACTTTATTGACTCAAATTATTCAAAATACAGAAAACTAGAAAATTCAGAAAGCAAAGAAAAAACAGAAAACACAAGGGTTTGATGGCCCTTAATTCATACAACAAGAACAAGCACATAATCCAAGGACTTCATCATATCTTTTGAATATTAACAGCACCACAATTCTTAATATCTTCCAAAAATGCATCAAGATTCCGGTCAGAAGATCCAGCACCAGCCACCACCGCATCATCTGCCGCCTTCTTCCACTTGATTGCATTTTGCTTCAACTCTTGTGCTTTTGGCCCTTCCATTGCTTCCAGTAAGCACCTTTTCACATCATCTCTTGTCACCAATTTCTCTTCAGCTCGAGTATAACCCAATCTAATTCCCATACGAAAAACATCAACCAAGAACTTTGCATTTGTGACTTGATCCCCATAATCTGGAAATGTCAGCACAGGAACTCCTGAAGCAAGTGCTTCGATTGATGAATTCCAACCACAATGTGTTATGAAACATGCCACTGAAGGATGAGAAAGTACTTGTACTTGTGGACACCACTTCACAACTTTTCCTCTCCCATTTGTTTCCTCCAAGAAAGCTTTAGGTAAATCATCATGTTGCCTTAATGCCCACAAAAACGAGACATGAGAATCCAATAACCCATAAGCAATTTCACTCACCTGTTCTTGTGGAAGATGCACAATAGTCCCAAATGAAATATAAACCACAGAATCTTCCTGCTTTGAGTTTAGCCACTCTATAATATCAGAAGAATCATCACTCTTAACGAAATCACCTTTAATTTTCGGGTTCTTAAACAAAGGACCGATTGGTCTTATGTTGACTGGTTTTTTCGAAATATAATCGATGAAATCACGCTCTAGTTCATCATAGGTATCCACAAACACACACAACGCTTTCGACAAGTTTTTAATTTGTCCTAAAATGAGTGTCGCTAGAAGTGTCCTAAAATGAAATCCATTAAAAGGATGCAAAAGATCAGGAATTTCGTTGTGTTTAAGGATAACAGAAGGCAATTGAACATCAATATAAGGTTCAGTTTTTGAAGGAAAAGGTACAAGTTTGTGGAAATAGTTATAGTAAGTAGTTAAAACAGCACAAGATTCACTCCACAAAATAGCAAAACGAATTTCATTTTCTGTGGCTACATCACAAACCCATGAAATAAAAATGTTGTTTATGATACATGAAATTGGTGTTTCTGACTCGGCGTGATTTTTGATCATTTGGGAAACATATTGTTTCCCAACATGCTCAAGATGTGATTCGTAGTCACACAGATTTGTTCTCATTGGATCATCGTCATTCAAACCGTCGTCAAAGAAGTCGAAACTGAGTGAACCGTCGCCGATTTTAGTGACGGTTTTGTCAGTGTTGTTGTTAACAGTTTGCATTTCTTTGCCAGCTTTCTTTGTGGTGGTGAAAATGACGGAGGAACCCTTTGCAGCAAGAATTTTTGCTAGTCTAAGAAGAGGGTTTATGTGTCCTTGTGCTGGATAAGATACAAGGAGGATTTGAATGGGAGCTTTAGACTCCATTTTTGTGTTTTTTGATGTGCTTTTTTTATCTCTTGAAATTGCACTACAAAGTTCAATAATGGTACTAGGAGAATATGCTTATATATATAGCCTAATGTAGCATAATGCAACAACCTTGTAAATTTGTACGTATGAATGGGGGTTGGAATATGTTTGTGTCCTCTCAATTAGTCTGAGTTTTATGGATATGCTTTTCATAGCAAAACAAAAAGGATAAATGAGATTCTAGTTTTAAGGCTAAAAAAGGCAACTAGTTATCGTTGCATGTATTTTAATATTTTTTAATTGAATAAATTAATAATTAATAATTTAATTAATTGTTTTTATAAAATTGATTAATTAAAATTTTCAAAAAGAAATATTTTGAATTATGGGGATTTGAACCTTAGAAATATCAAATATCTTGACCCCTAGAACTTTTTTTTGAATAGATGCACTTAGAGTTGTCAAAACACGCTACTCAATCTTAAATGGACTGATCTTGAAGACTTTGGTTTTTTTTGGGTTGGGTCAAAAAAACTCTTCTATAATATAGGTTTCAAAATTACTATCTCAGTCCGTTCTTAGATGGACTTTGAACTATCCAATTCTAAACGGATATTTTTTAAATAAAAATTTAAAATAAACATTATTTATTATAAATAAAATTAAAAATTATTATTTTATATATAATATATTTTTAAGTATTATATTATCTTTTAAAATACTATAATGTGTTTTAAAATACAACACATGTCTAAATTGTATAAAATAATATTCAAATATTTAACGTAAGAGACACCAATAAAATACAAGGAAAGAATATTGATTATATTAATGCATAAGATTTAAAAGAAAAAGATTAAATAAAATAGAGATAGAATTTAGTGATGAGGTGACAAAAATCAATGTATTATTTTAGAATAAGATAATATAAGTATTAATATATATATTTTTAATTTATAGCTATGTGAGTCATATGGACTACTCACGATCCATACGATCTTGTATGATGCTAAAGTCAAATATAATTATGCTAAGACTTGAAGCTTCAGAGTATAAAAGAGAGGAAGTGTGAAAGTTTGTGTGGTCATGTTTGTTTGAGTGATAAGTGTGTTGTAAAGACACAAGGGAATTTTATAAAGTATTATATCTAAATCACACACACACAAGCGCGCACGCGCGCGCACACAAACACATACACAAACACACAAGTACACACACACGCACACACACACGCGCGCGCACACACACACACAAAAACAAGGAGAGCCTCTCATTTTTTAAATTAAAATAACAAAAAAAATGTTTTTGGGGTCTAGCAACATGATTAAAAGTCTATCTACTTGATTATGAAAACGTTTTTCAAATTGTCTAATCGATTAGATTATATGCCAAATCGATTAGATGATGCCTAATCAGGTCTATAATCAATTATGACAATCTCTTAATGATTGGTAACTAATCTCTATCTAAACATTCCATTTTTTGGGTCATAAAAATCGATTATTTGCACCGCCTAATTGATTACATCATTAATTTGGCCCATGGATTGTTTCCAAATTTACACTATTTTTTGGGCTATAAATAGAGAGTTTCTCTATCATTTTTAATCATTTAGAAGATTTTAACAACATCACTTTTCATTTACCTCATAACCTCTATAAATCGTTCTTAATTTTATCACTTATTTTAGCCATAGTGCTTTGAGAGTGCTCTTGAGCCTCACTGGAGATATTATTCTGAGTGAGAGTATACATTTAAATTTATCAAGAGTATATTTTTCTCTTGAGTAAATAATTCTTCCCTAGGAATTTATTATTTTGGTTGGGAGCTAAACCATTGAACAAACTCTTATTGGTATTTTGGGGGATTAGTCTTAGTATTCATTTGGTTCGTGAACTCTGCCATTGAAAAAGCTCTATTTTGGTTTATGAACATAAGCTAGTAAAAATATCCACAATGGTTCTTGAGTTCAGTCCGGTCAAAAGCTCCATCGGTTTGAGATCACTCTGGTCTAAAATATTACTTGGTTTATAAGTTCCGCAAAGTATAAACACTTAGAGGTTACAGATTATCCAAATATAAATCTCGTTTTGGTTCGTGGTAAGTAGGGATGGCAATTGTATCCATCCCTAGTGGGTACCTGAAAAAATTACCCACAACAGGCAGGGTAAAAATCAGCAAAATGGGTACGGGCATGGACAATTACCCACTAAAATAAGTGAGTATGGATGCGGGTATAGGCACCTTAGTACCCAGCCTGTCCCATACCCTCTCTCTCTCTCTCTCTCTCTCTCTCTCTCTCTCTCTCTCTATATATATATATATATATATATATATATATATATATATATATATATATATATATATATATATATATATATATATATATATATATATATATATATATATATATATATATATATATATATATATATTTATTTTCATTTTCATTATTATGTACACATGTTAATCTAACAATTTTATTAAATACATTAATCACTGTTAAATTTCTATGCATTTTAATATAAATATTTGTTTATTTCTTATCTCAACAATAACATCCTCTAAATTTTTTAAATGTTCTTAAAAATTAAAATGACATAATAAATTATAAATGATCGACCATTTTTATTAGAAATATGGGTAAATGGGTATGGGTACTTATGTACCCAAAGGGTACGGGTACAGGTACAAACATTGGTGTCCGCGCAGGTATGGGCTCGGGTACATGGATTTTTTTTAAACTGCGGGTTTGGGGACGGGTACTATGGCACCCTGTCCAAACCCTGCCCATGATCATCCCTAGTGGTAAGCAACTATAAAACCTTATTTCGTTTAAGAGGATAGTCGACTCAAAACTCTAGTTTGTTTCGAGATTAGCTAGTGAAAAAAATTTTGTTTGGTGTGAAGACTAATATCTTTAAGCCATACTGGTTGTTTGGTGTGAAGACTAATCAATTCATCACTTATTTGTTGTTTGGTTAAAAGTTAGTTTGAAACTTCAATTTCTTGTATAATGGGGTTTGTGGATATAACCTTATAAAATCTCTCAATAATAGTAATACTTTCAAGAACAATTCTTGGGAGAGGAGTATGTCACATCATCAGACCGAACCTCTATAATTCTCTATTCTTATATCTCTTCCCTTGTCTCTTTTATTTTCCACTTATTTTCTTTACTTTGAGTTTTTGCTACATATTTATTCTAATATTTTGATAAAATATTTTCAAACTATAATTTTTTAAATGATTTTGTTTTATATCAACATTTTTCAAACCTCCACAATTCACCACTCTGTTGTGTATGGAGTCGCGTGTTAAAAAAGTGGCCAGAGCCTAATCCTTGTTTAAAGACTAATTGCCTCAAGAGGAAGATGACTTCCAACATCATTTTTAACAATGGGGCTTTCCTAAATACACCTCAGTTTTTTAATGATGATATGTTTGAATTGTGAAAAGATTTAAAATATTCATTTAAAAATTTAATAATGAACTGTAGGAAACTATAATCAATAGTCCGTTTATCCATACTTAGTGTGTTGATGGTGAAATAGTAGATAATCATGATTCTCTTTGGACCAAAAAGAATAGAGAAAGTTTGAAATTGATTTTAAAAATAAAAACTTCTTGGTTATGTATTTAAATGAAAATCAATTTCTTTATGTACTTAAGTGTAATTCTACCAAGAAAATATGAGATACTCTTGAAATAATCTACGGAGTATCTCTAAGTATCGAACAAGATGGAATGAACACCCCACACGAAGAAGATGAATGCGAATGCTTCTTTCAAAAATGTTTTTCAACTTAGAAATTTTGAAAATAATGTTAGAACTTTCTTCGCTAACAAACACTATGCCATAAAAGACCTTTAGCAGCGCTGCCTAAAGTGGCGTTGCTGTAGGTAAAGGCGTCACTTTTTCTAAAGGCAAAAGCGCTGCTAAAGGTCCCCTTTAGGTAGCGCTTATTTTTAAAAGCACTCTCTAATGTCACCTTTAGACAACGTTTTTTCATGGAAAACACTCTCTTTTCCCCCCTTTAGGCAGCATTTTCTTATGTATATTTTCTTCAGATTATAGGCAGCGCTTTTTCATGAAAAGCGCTCTCTTCCCCCCCCCCCCCCCCCTTTAGGCAGCGCTTTTGAAAACGCTTTCTAATGTATTGTTTCTTCAGATTTTTGTCAGCGCTTTTTCATGAAAAGCGCTCTCTTTTCACCCCCTTTTGGAAGCTATTTGGAAAGCACTTTCTAATGTATATTTTATTCATGTTTTAGGCAGCGCTTTCTATAAAAGCGCTGCCTTAGATCCACTTTTGGCAGCGCTTTCTTTTCTTCATGTCATTGGATGTTTTCAAAAGCACTTTTTTAAAAAGAACTTTTTTAGGAAGCGTCTTTTTGTTATAAGCATTGTCTATTATGCATTTTTTTAAGAAGCAATTTTTGTTAAAAGCATTGGCATAAGTCTTAGTTTTTATTTATAAAATGGAACCACGAACCATTAAGCATTTATAATATTTCAATACAAGCCTTTATTTCAACACATATAGGCCTTATATAGCATTATAATTCAACACATATACCTTCTTATTACCATTATAATTCAACACAAGCCTTTATTTCAACACATATGCTATATACCATTATAATTCAACACATAAACCTGCTTATAACCATTATAATTCAGCACAACTTTATTTCAACACATAGGCCTTATATACCATTATAATTCAACACATAAACCGACTTAATTAAACACAAACCTTATAACCATTATAATTCAACACAAACCTCAACACAAACCTCCATAATTCTAATAAAACATATTCACTTCCAAAACCTTTAACTTCTAAATATTCACTATACATAATTACAAATTCCATCAATCCTCACAAAAACGTCTAGAAGTATATATACAACAACTTGCAAAACTATACAACAACTTCTAGAATTATTCCTATCTAGTAGTACAGAACATCACATCAACAAAAATCTCTAAAGACCATAAACTTCACACAAAA